TTTTTATATTAAGGCTTTTCGATATTTTGGCAAAACTTTGCAATAGGTTATCCATATCCAGGAATCTAAATCCAAAACCATCTTTTCTGTCAAAGCTTTCATTAGTCAGAAAATGAACCGATCGGAAATGACCTTTCTATTCCTCCACTGGAGAGAGGGTCATATGAAATAAAATGAGTTTGTGACCTTGCAGTCATTATGATAGCAACGTATTCAGACATGTTAGCGTGATTACAGGTTCGATAATCTCAATAATATCAAATATATATGAAGTTCCTTCAGCCCGGCAGTTCAGCCAATTAAATATTTTCGGTGTTGGGTATGAGTCTGTCAATCTTTATTTATTTCATATCACCGCCCCTTCAGTCGGAGGAAAAAAAAAGCTGGTTTCGGATTGGTCCATTTTTGACTAATGAAAGCTACAATGGAAAGAAATGACGTCATATTCGGATCTGTGGATATCGATAACCTATTACAAAGTTTTATCAAAAGGTCGAAAAGCCTTAATATAAAAAAGCTCGTTTCTGATTGGTCCATTTACTGATCAATGGAAGCTCAAATATGATAACTGACTTCAGATTCGGATTTCTGGATATTGATAACTTATGGCAAAGTTTTATCAAGACGTCGAAAAGCCTCAAAGTAAAAAAGCTCATTTCCGATTGGCCCATTTTCTAGCCAATGAGAGCACAGATCGAGAAAAGGATTTCAGATTCGAATTCCTGGATATTGATAACCTATTGCAAAGTTTTATCAAAACATCGAAAAGCCTTCATATAAAAAAATTCACTTCTGATTGGCCCATTTTCTTACCAATCAAAGCTCAGACAGAATAACTGACTTCAGATTCGAATTCCTGGATATCGATAACCTATTGCAAAGTTTTATCAAAAAGTCTCAACATAAAAAAACTCGTTTCTGATTGGTGCATTTTCTGGCCAATGAAAGCTAAGATATGATAACTGACTTCAGATTCCGATTCTTCGACCCCAATTTACTTTCGTCAACCTTTGTAGAAAATCGTTATTTTCTTAAAAAGCTCTTTCCTTCGTGAAAACGGGCTTGAGCTGATAACGGTACTTACGGTTATCTTAGTTGGATCGGTAACCGTACCTACGGTTATTGTAGTTGGACCGGTAACTGTACCTACAGTTATCGTAGTTCAAGGAATTTCATGAGATTCTAAAGACTCCACAGAATTTTACAAGATTCCACCGGATTCCAAGTGATTCCAGGGATTCCAAGGACACAGAATCAGCTGTTTCCCCCTTGGTGTTCATAGTAAATCTTTTTTACTATTTGCCTGTACACATTATGATGCAACGAAAAAAAGCATAATATCTCATTATTATATGGGCAAATACCTATGATGATACTTGTAGAATATCACACATGTTCGAATATTTCTAGAGTAAATAATGCTATTTAATAAGTTAAAAACATTTATTATGTATACAAAATGTTTGAACATATTTAGTAAGTTACATGCTCTTAACATTTCAATAGTTAATATAGCTAATTTTGTACTACATGAAATTACTGCCGAATTTCTCTGATTATTCCGATCCATTCTCCTCCATTCTCATTCATTCCCTCCCATTCTCATCTATTCCCATCCATTCCCATCCATTCCCATCCATTCTCATCCATTCCCATCCATTTCCATCCATTTCCATCCATTCCCATCCATTCTCATCCATTTCCATCCATTCCCATCCATTCCCATCCATTCCCATCCATTCTCATCCATTCCCATCCATTCTCATCCAT